AAAAAAAAAAAACACCTGCACTAGGAAGGAAGCTTCTGCCTTCAGCCTCTAGTAACAGGACCTACGCAAGAGCCTATATCCAAAACCCACAGTAACACACACATTCAACTCCCATACTTTATTGGGACAAAAGAAGAAATAGACCAATACCATAGACTCACCCACCAGGGGTGTCGAGGCTTCAGCAGCTAGCACAACATGAGTACATCATAAATACAGGCAAGGTATGTATGGGGGAGTCAGATTCCATACAGAGGAAGGAGGTCTGGCGCCCATGTAGGCTTGCAGACTGAAGCATTGCTCAACTGGCACAGTCCACTTAGGATTGAAGAGGGAAGGGGGGCCAGATTCCATTCTGCAAAAGGGAGATGTTCCCTGACACACATGGAAAGAGGAAAGAAGCTGGCATGGAGAATTCCTTCTTACATGTTTGAAAGAGCAGATTTCACCTTACAGATGGGTATGGAGGGAAGAAGGAACATTTATTTTAAATAGCAGAAATGGATGTGGAAAGAAATATTTTGCAGGCAGCAAAAAATGCTTCTGGGATGGTTAGTTTACATGGATTAATATTCATGGGTCGTGCCCTTCCCAGGTGACAACAGAGACACACAGGAAAGGATCCAAGGCTAGAGAACAAGGGAGGTGTACCCCACAGGCACCAGCCCTTCCATGCCTTCCCGCCCACAGCGGAGCCAGTCTTCGTCCACTGTAGCAATGACACGCAGCACTTCCCCTCGCCGGAAGCTCAACTGCTCAGGTCCTGCAGCAGTGTGGTCACAGAGAGCCCGAACCGCCCTGAGGAGGTAAAGGAAGAGGCTGGGATAAAAGAGGTGGTGGTCCCAACTGTCCCAGCCTCCCATTGTTGGTTCAGCTCAGTCAGCTCTACTTCTCTCCAGGGACCCAGCACTCACCTGAGCACTAAACCTAATCTCCAACTCATTATTTGACACTACACTTCTCTCTGGTGCTTCATGTTTAACATACTCAAACCAAATGACTCCTCTTAATACTCCCAACCAGTCCCTGAAGTGATAAATAGCTCCACTTTCAACTCAGTTGTTCCTTGCTAGCAGGCGCAGGGGCTAGGTGTTCGATCCCCAGGCCTGCAGTGCTGCCCAGCCCCCAAGCTAAGACAGCAATTGAGACTGGGCGTGGTAGCACACGCCTGTAATCCCAGCTCTTGGGAGGCTGTAAACAGGTCGATCACTATGAGTCCGATCTAGTAGTGAGACTGTGTAGACCCTTCCCTAAAATACAAAAAAAAAAAAAAAATTTCAACTCAGTTGTTCCTGCCAAAATGCAGGGATCTTAGTCCTTGTACCCAATCTATCACCAAAACTTGTTTGATGTCCGTATATCCTACAACACTGTTGTCTTCAACATCCTAGTTTTGGCCTTTATCCTCTCCCTGGACCATGGTGCATAATCAGCAAGTCTCCATGCATCTTGCACAATCTGTATTCCCAGCACCATTCTCTATACAGCAGTCAGAGGTCTTTATAAAACACAAGTCAGGGGCTGGTGAGATGGCTCAGTGGTCTAAAGCACCTACTTAGAACAAGCTTAGCAAAGCACAGGGACCGCGGTTCAATCCCCCAGCACCACATGCCAGCCAGCCCCGCCCCCTGGTGGGCTGAGCTGGCCACACACACACACACACACACACACACACACACACACAAAAAAAAAAAAAAACACAAGTCAGCATATCACTGCCAGGCTTAAGTGCTTTCAAGGGCTTCCACTGACTCTGGATAGAGTCCAGGCTCCCTAGCTGGCCCACAGACTTATCATGTATCTGCAGTTCCTTACCACACTGGCCTCCTCGCCTTTGCCTCCTCTTCCTCCTGCCAGATGTACATTTTCATGCCATCACTGAGCCTCCCTTGAGATCCCTGAAAACCTGGGACATGGCCTTTCCCTCATCTATTAGTCTGTACCTACAGCTCACCACAAGCTCCTTGAAAGCACAGACTCCAGTATGCTGACCTGTAGCTCCCCAGGCATAACGTGTGGTACATAGAAAGCACATGAAAAGCACTGCAGTAGACTGGGAGAACCCACAGAAACCTCAAATCACAAATTTTAAAATCCTACTAAATAGATCAGCAAACTAAGCACCTGCTTTGGCAAGCACAGGAACCAGGGTTTGATCTCCAGTCCCACGTGGTGTGCTGCCCCCCACCCCCATAGTACACTGACCCTGCAAATGAGTCTGGGCATGGTGGTGCACACCTGTAATACCAGCAGCTGGGGAGGCTGAAAACGGAAGAATCACTATGAATCCAAGCTGCGTAGTGAGACCTTGTACCAAATACATAAATGAAAGAAAAATAAAATCCCACTAAAGAGACAATTTCCCAATGTACACATACCCTACTTGGTGCCAAATGCTTTTCTAAAATTATATTTTATCTTCAGAACAACCATAACAAAAGTATGATAAATTACTCTCTAGAGAAACAAGGCTCAGGGCCTAGGGAAGATAGCTCAGTAGAATAAGCATTTGCCTGGCAAGCACAAGGGCCTGAGTTAATCCCTGGTTCCGCAAAAAAAAAAAAAAAAAAAGAGAAACAAGGCTCAAATGAGTGCCACACAAGTAATAAAAAGAAAAGAGCAACACAAACTACTCTGATTTTAAAGCCAGATACACACCCTCCTGCCAACTCTGATAACAGAAACACAGAACCACACACGGATACCTCCCTACTCCTCACCTGTGGGCCTGCACCACACTGGGTGCTGAGGGCACAAGCTCCTCGGGAGGCGTCTCAGGAGGTGGCCCCCGCTTCACCAGGGCCAACACACTCACTGCTGGGGGCAGCCAGCTGGATGGTCTCCTGGGGGGAAACACAGGATCACAGAAGTCACTCCAAAACCCAGGGTTTGAAGGAAAAGAGGCTAAGGGCCCTGACTAGCTCTAATAGATCAGGAGTTGGCACTGCTTAGGGCAGAGTGGCAGCTGTAGGTCTTAAGTACCTTTATGGTGATTAGGGAGATAAGGACAAATGTCTTAAAATACGTAAAGTCACAAGGGGCTTACAGGACCAGCAGGGTCTGTGCAGGCTCAGAAAGATCTAGACGGTCCTAAAAGAATACTTAGGGGCTGGAGAGATGGCTCAGTGGTCTAAAGCACCTACTTAGAACAAGCTTGGCAAGGCATCAGGGACCGCGGTTCAATCCCCCAGCACCACATGCCA